CTCCTTTTCTCATGCTGTTTTCTCTAGTCATGAGGAAATGTGCATCAGTACAGGAAACTAAACTCTGAGAAAAGTCTTGGATTTCTGGACAGAAGACCAAAGAGAGTGATGCTGGGATCCAGTGAGAGTGGGGAACTCCCACCTAGGAGGGAAGGGAAGGAAGCGATATCCCAATTTTATGTGTGAACTGCGAGAAGCTCTGGGTCCACCCCAAGCAATGCATGTGTGGAACACCCAAATGGCGAAGCAAAGGCTTTGAAACTGAGCTGCTACCATAGACACTGCACAAAAATCAGACAGAACTGTCTAAATCTAATCATGTTGTTCACCTGCCAGATAGTTCTTGTGGTAGGCCAAAAATGCTCCTCCCAAAATATCCACATCAAAAACCTAGAACTGGATAAAGGATCCTTGCAGATCTACTTCAGTTAAAAATCTTGAGGTCAGGCTGGAATATGTGAGTGGGCCCTGGGACCAATGACAAGTGTTCTCATAAGTGACACACAGAGAAAGAATCAATGTAACCATAGAAGCACAGGTCTGTGTGATGTGGCTGTGAGCCAGGGAATGCTGGCAGCCACCAGAGACTGAGAGAAACAAGGCTTCTCCACTACAGACTCCAGAGGGATGTATCCTGCTGGCTTCAGATTTCAGACAAATGGGCCACAGAATTGTGAGAAAATGAATTTCTGTTGTTTTAAGTAACCAAGTTTGTGGTAATTTGCTTTGAAATTGTTTTACGAAAATTTGGAATTTTAGGAAACAGTTCCCTATTACTGTGTAACAGAATATCCCAAAACTTTGTGACTTTAACCAAATATTTATTATCCTATAATCTCTGTATGTCAGGAGTCCACATGTGGCATAGCTGGGTCTTCATCCCCTGTTTTGTTTTTGTTTTTGTTTTTTGTTTTTGGCTTTCTCCCCTACTCTCTAACCTCTACCCCTGCCCCCACTGACCTGATGCTGTGGGAGGGATCAGCCCTCAAAGAAGTGGTGGTGCATGCTGGGCCCAGCCTTCTTGCCCACCCTCACTTTCCAGGGCAGAAAGGGTCCAAGGTTATAATAAGAAGTAAATAACTTGTCTGTACAGTCTGTGCTTGTGTGGTGTGAGACGGAGTGCAGGGTAGGGAACAGCTGGCATGGGCCTCTGGTTGGTACATCTTTGTGTGTTGATCCCTGAGGTGACTGGCGTGTGCTGAGCCCTCAGCATGTGATTAGTGTGGGTTAGCATGTACTGAATTTCTCAAAAGGCTCTCAAGAGTCATCTGCTATCTCATCTGAAGTCTTGTAAGAGAAGCGTCTGCTTCAGAGCTCACTATGCAGCCAACGGACATGGAAGGTGATCCCATAAAGGTATAAATATCAGGAAGTGAAAATCATGGGGGAGCATCTTACTAACCTACCCATCAAAGTCTGATGATTCATATCCCTTATATATTATGCCAAATATATTTACTTATTTCCAAGGTTCCCAAAAACTTCACCCTATTACAACATTGCATATTTTAAAGTCTTCAATTATTTAATATGAAGTAATCATGGAAATAAAAATTGATAACTTTCTACTAATACTCGTTCCTATAGCTGGTGAAATAATGAATAAAAAATTGGTAAATTATTAATTGGAATCAATTAATCTTTCTTACAATTTATAAATTTTACATTTTAGAATCTACTCAAGTCCACTTTACCTAAAATAATAGATACGGGGAGTGAATTATCATCTAAAATAATAACAAATGCTCATTATTTGAGCACTGGTTAAGAAATGAACTGAACCCCACCTACCCCACAACAGCATAGCCTCTGCCATGCTTCGCTTTCCAATGTGAAAGCATAGAATTTGAATAAAATGAGTTGAAACCTGTGCCAATACAGCTTAAGACAAGTCCCTAAAGCCTTCACGCTCTTTCTACTAGACATCATTCACTAAATATCAAATATTAACAACTATTGTAAATATTTTGGAGCCACTCTGAATAATGATAAAATACAATTTTACATTGTCAGTGTGTGTCTAGGTATTTTTTAACCATTATGATCAATTATTTCTGGAAGAAGAATTTTTTCAGATAGCAACTATAATTACATAGAATTTTTAAAAACTAGGTACGAAAATCCCAGTCTCATAAGATTACTTTTAGAAACTAGTGAGCAAAGAGAAAAGAAAATGATCAGTACATTGATCTAATTATTCTAACACAGGTTGTTTTTTGTTTTTTGTTTTTGCTCTCTTTTATCCTTCCCCTGTCTGTTCTCCAACTAGTTTACAACAAAATGTGATTCATTATTAAAAAGTTTATATACATATGTATGTCTTATTTCAATAGCATAATTTTTAAACTGTCAAACTTATTATTTTATATGCATTTTAATCCTTTTTTCAGTTTTATTTTATGCCTGATAATCTCTTGAGTGGAATTCCTTTAAATATTTTATCACAATATTTTTATTTCTGTACCTATTATTAACAAACTATTCAAGTCAGACTTACACAAGCCTATACTCTCAGAATATTGGCAAATAAAGAAAAAGTTCTATATCTTTCCATAAGGTATTATTTCCAGTATATCTTTAGAATTAAAAAAAAGTAAGAGAAGTAGAACTGATATCTAACTATCCTAATCAAAAGTTTTCCTAGCTACTCTTTCTGCCTAATTTATTTCTTTATGCTAATAAACCATACTGTTTCATCAATGCATTGTGCCTTCTCCAAAGTCAATGTGACTTTCACATTTTTTATTGCTATGCCTAATAACTTTTCAACATTCATGTAGTACTTTCCATATCAGAGTACATTGTAACCTAATGCTTTTGAATGGAAACTGATTACAAGAACAAAAGAACAAGTAATTAGAATATAGAAACAGGAGGTGAAAGAAGAAATACATAACTTTTAATATTCAACAAACATATGGATCTCCCAACAGTTAGAACAATAGTATAGGGGAATCATTTGCTTTCCTAAGTAAGATGGTGAGCACTTAATACAAGGATGAAAAGCAAGCAGTAAAATGTGGCTTGTCCCTCCTTAGGCTTACAGAAGGTAGAGACATTTGCATCTTCACTGTTTTGTTATTGCTGTTGCTTTTAACTAAAGCATTGACTTTTCAAATGCTTGTCAGCTGAAGCACAGCATTCTAACTGAATAGACCGTTTGAAGAAATACAACATGACAGTATTCCCAAGATTTTAGGTCATGCAAATTTGGATCTAGGTAAGGAAAAAAAAAAACAAAAAACTTTGGGTTTAAAGTTTAACATTGTGTTCTTTCCAAAACATTTGTCTCACAAATATAAGTTCATAACTTGTTTTTAAGAAACTAATCATTTCTGTAATAAATTCCCTAGCCTCATGCGGTATTTTTCTGTGTTTAACTCTAGAAACATCCATGTAAGTCAGTCGAAGGAGAGGAGACAGTCCCTAGAGAAACACTGCATTTCTTTTCCATTTTTTTTTTCTTTGTTTTCCAGTCATTCTGAAACCTATGCCCTCTTGTGCAAACTCAACTCTAATGTGGTGACAACACTGGATTAGCAAGGGCGGGCTGGGAGTGAGCGCTCACTCTTGCCCAAGCTAGGCACACCCATGTCTAGCCTCCTTGTTGAGGGATGACCCTGGGTAAGGCTTGGCATATTTGCACCTATCCTGGAATCACCAAAAAGAAAAAAAAGAAAAAAAGAAAATCTGTTTTTATTCACACTGGAAGCACATTTCCACATGTATCAAATAAGCAAAAATTCAAAAGGCAGGGTGACCCAGAGTTTTGAAAATTATCTATAGAAAGAGACATATCATCCACCAAGAGTGAGGGGTAAACTGCACAGCCAATTGGAAAACACTTAGCATGGCATGGTAAAACTGACCATGCACATATCCCATGACTGTCAACACTATTCTCAGAGCATCCCATCACCGTATGCATGGCCATTATGATGGCATTGTTTGAAATAGCCATAGACTGGAAACAAGACAGTTGCCTTTATTGGCTAGTGGTCCTCCTGTCGTTTTAGAAAGGTATAGTCACCACAATCCCTTCTTATGTTTCAAAGCAAAGTCTACTCTGTGCAAGGATACTTTGATCTGAAGGGTCATTTACATAAGAACAATTTTGTGTGTTCACGTGCTGATGACAGAGTTATGTATTTCTGCTTGACCATTTGTATATTAGACTCCCGATCACCCTTAGGACTTCTGAAATGCCTCAACATGGCATGAACAATTGTGGACTGAGGAGAGAATTAACACAAGGGTATGGATGATGACAAGTACTTTTTCTAAAACAATTATTATTAGTGATACCTAGATTGATATTCAGTAAGCTGAGGTTTATGGTTTTGTATATTTTGTTAGACTATATTTCTCATAGAAGTATTAATAACAGGGAGAAAGAATTGTTTAGGTTATTAAAGAGTTAAAATAATGCGAAGATAGCTACAATAAAGAGACACAGGAATGTGGAAGGAAGAAACGGTTATAGTGGAAAGAGAGAAAATGCAGAGAAGCCATTTCTAATAATACAGACCAGGCTCTACCTAATGTGAGATAACGGCAATCTTCTGACTCTTCTGACTGTTTCCTTCAGTCTCTATGCTAACTCTTTCGTCCTAGCCTACTATTCCTCAAACCTTCCTAACTGTAATTCTAAGATCTCTAAAGGTAAACCAATAATGCTGTCTTGAATTCCAGTATTATATTAGTCCAGAACGATTTTACTTAAATATATTTAGCGATTATATGCTAACTACTTGTTTTCATTTGCTTAAGTAATGTAGGGATTTATGATGCTTATTAATGGAAATCTATGCAAATTATTGAACCATAAATTGGGCTAGAACTCTCAATTTTCTTTCAATAAGTATTCCAAAATTGCTTTCATAATGAATGTCTCATTCTGAGAAGAACACTAAACAATTGATGTGAAGTTACATATATAATTGAAGGATTTTATAACGCCTGATAAACCCTGGCTAGGTATTCCTTGAATCATCACTTACATTGTGCTTTGTGAGATTTGAAATATTAGTTGCTATTGCTTGTAGCCAGTCAACGCAGTCTTCAGCAGAGAGGCACTGAATAATCCCACTGCAGACCCCATCCACAGCAATGACTTGAAAGGCATTCTGCCTGCAGAGGTTCAGAACAAATCAGATCAAAACATACTGTCATTGATCTATTTGCAACTCATAATAGTATCTGTTGAAAAGCTTATCTTTGAAATAATATAAATATCAGCCTCCAAATTCATATTTGGTTACCTGACTTTATAAACATCTCTGTTTTAAATGAAACACTGAAGATAGACCCAAATGACATATAATTTCAATTTAGTAGGAAGCATCTTTAGATTCAGGTAACTATGGAGAAACTTTGACTTCTAAAACATACAATATGTAAATGAAAGAGAATCTAAGAAATTTTAGATGCATTCTTTTCCCAGTTTGCTATAACATTATGCATAGTTTACTTATTATTTAGGCTACCTTTGTCTCCTCTTAACATTTGTCGATGCATTTTCTGACTTAGAAAGATCGCAAACACAGGCAATAAAACATTCAGCGTGACATTAAAAAGTCACTTGATAACGTGAGCGGCAGCACTTTATCCATTGTTCTCCACCCTCATTCTCAGTCTGTTCATCTTCTCAAAGATGATTTGGAACAAGAGATTCATACCTCCTTTCCAGGTCTAAATGATCATGCTCTCCATTTGCATGGATGCTGAAAATTTCATTAACATTAAACTTTTTTCTTAAAATGTTATGATCAGTCTAAGCATTCTGAAAGTATATTATTGACTTTTGTTTTTGTTGTCATAGACAATTAAATGATGCTTTTTAAAATTGTTCACAAAAGTGCTATTGAATTTAAAAGTGTGCCCCATAGTTTCAGTGACTTCCTTACTTCCAGATATTTTAATATTTAGATATAAACTTAATGGACAGGAATATATAAAATCCCAAAATGGATGGAAACCAGCCAAAGTCTCATGCTTAAGAATTACTTCATTGTGCAACATGATACACAAACTATATTTCAATTCCAGTCAATTATGAATAGAAAACTTCTGCAATTCAGTATTCAAAATGCTATGTAAAATGTATAAATTTATATGTTTTCTCCAAACAAACACCTTTCCTGGCTCTTCTACTAGACATTTGTCGATATAAAACATGAGTTTAATCCCCAAACAAAGAAAATCCAGTAGAGCATGTCTGACTTAGGTCTCCTGCTAGATTTATGCCACTCTGCCTTCCTGTCTCAGAACTGGGCACATGGTAAGGCCTTGGGCATTCACGACTCTGAGGGTTCAAATTGTCAATATTTTTAGAGAAACTGGTTCTCATATTTTGGACACAGCACTTTATAATGAAAACAGGGATGTGCTCAGATATACGTTTTTGTTTTCTTTTAAAAATACATTAAAAGAATTTCAGAAGTATAACTATTGTGCATCTCTTTGAAATAAAGTTAGTTTGATTTTGTGACAGTGTACGCATTGAATGAAAATAATGTTATAATTTCACACGATATTTTTAGCTTTCATTCCGATGTTTAACAACAAGTAAGATGTTTAAAGTATTCAGACAGAAGTTTAACCATCCATAGAAAATGAGAAATAATTGGAGTTTAGTAATACATATTTCTTTCTGCTCACTGGTTGTAACCACTGCTTCATTTACCATAAATTAAAGCATATCTTGATCATGTTTGTCTTCTCTGCTTTAAATGAATAACAGCAGCTAGATATTTTTAGCTAATAAAAGTCAGTACACTTAGATCAAATCTTCAATCTATGTAATTATGGATGCTACATAGTCCCTACATAGAATAATTGAGGCGCTGATCTTTTATGAAACTAGACTTGTAAGTTAATACATATCAATTTTTACATTCTGTTTCAACTTTTCAAATATGGAAACTCTTTCATGAACATAAGTGAAACACTTGAACAGTTTATTTGATTACATATGACCACTGATAGAATAAGTTGATCATAAAAATTACAGTTATCTGGGGCCTCTATTACTAAGTAAAGAAGGTTATTAGTAAACTAGCTCACTTAGTTGTGCCTCAATTTCATCTAAAGTGAGAAGAATTTACCGTACAGATTTAACAAGTATTTTCTGAATAACTGGTGGATCTAAATACTTTAATATATGGATGAAGTTCTGTGTATAATATTCCCCTGAAAAATCCATCAATATGGTCTTGATTGCAATATTTCAGTGTTAAAAGAAAACGTACCCACATAGAATTATTGTCTCATCAAGCACTAGGGGAAAACTGCAGTGCTTTTGTTTTTATTTGTAGCTTTTAGAAAATGTAATTTTAGATAAACAATAAGAGTTAATATTTATTATGGAATCAATAGACTCCATTACCCATTAATTTAGCATTGTGAGACATTAAACTTTTACAGCATTAACAGTAACCTTATGGATACCCAGACAAAACTATGTGTCTTAGTCTTAGTTATATATATATATACACACGCAAAAATTACATCACTGAAGAGTTAGTCCGAAGTTTTTTGTTCAGGCTTATTTTTCCACTGTTCACTTATACAGTTTTCTAAAGATTCTTGGTAACTCTTCTGGCAGTAAAAAGTATTTTCAAATGTTGCTCAATTTCAAAGTAGGTTTATTCATTTAAAATACAAATTTAGTCTTCCTTGAATGAAAAGTATACTGCTCACTATATAAATTCATGAATAATTTTCAACCTAACATAAGCAATCAAATAAATATACATCATTTCTAATTAATACAGTTTGTGATTCCTGTTTTGATTCATTGTTGATTTTACCCCACAAGAGGACATGTACTTTTATGCCACAGAGACTAAAATGTAAAAGTTTGGAGTGGCTGGAATGAGCATGAGTTCTGGGAGCTCACCATGGAAAAACAGGCAGACTCAGAATGAGGTGGGCTTAAAGTCTGCAAGGAACCACTGCAGAACTCTATGTAGAGGACCACAATGGCTAGATTTGTGTGGCTTGGGTGGTCCTGTTAGACCAGCGAGGGAAGGACTCTCACTGGTAAAACTTGAGGTGATATGAAACTGAAATAAACCTATATTAGTGAGAGTGAAGATGAAGCAACTTAGTTCACTTAGTTGTGCCCCAATTTCCCCTAAAAAATGAGAACAATTTACATTCTCATGTAAAAGGATCTCGGTACTTTCACATATGGTTGAAGTTCTACGTATAATTTCCCCCTTAAAGGCATTAGAAATGACGTGATTCAATAACTGCTTTTTAAAATGAATTATGAAGGAGTGAGTAGAATCAAAACTGCTCCACCATGTTGGGCTAAGCAGTGGGATGGCTTGGCTGGGGCAGGTAAGGGAAAGCAAAACTTTTAAAGAGGAGATAATTAATCCAAAAGAAAATGTTCAAAGCATGAAAAGCATAGTATATCCAGAGAAATATGTGTTGTCTGGCATATTGTGTGTGGATCTGAAGAGGAGGCAAGTCATGAAGTTGGTGATTGGACAAGGCAAAATCAGTGATAATTCACATATCTTGCTGCAACTTGATCCTGAGGGTCAGGGGAGCCAGTGGAGACATTGAAGCACTGGAGGAAAAGGGTCATGCTTATATTTTAGAAATATCTCTCTGTGGGGTGAAGGATATGGAGAAAAAGTGAGAATAAAGTCTGAGGGATGTGAGAAGGGTATTGCAATACACAAAAGGAATTATGAGAAAAATCAGTCTCAGAGTGGCCCCGTGTGAAGACGGAACATTGACTCATTTACTTGATTTCATTATCACTTAATTGGTGGGAGGATGCTACTCAAGGAAAGGAAGATATAAGAAGAGGCCCCTCGGGTTTGTGACTGTAGCGTTTTACTCTGTCTTATTGAGTGTAATCCACACACAGCAGGCCTGAGTTGTTTCTTCCCTGTGTGCACTACCTTAGTTCACTGCTGTGTCTTCTCTTTAATTTTTCAGGCACAAACCTAAGCTGTTTAGGTACATCAGGAGCTTTTTCAAGTTATTTTTTGTGACTTATTTTGCAGACCTTAAATTCACTAGATGTTTCATGAGTTGAAACCACATAACTCATCATTCCCTAAAGAAGTCCTGCACTTTATGCAACAGTGTCTTTCTCCCTGGTACTCTATGCTCCTTCAACATCTCCAAGGTCCTTGCAAGTCAGTTAACACTGGGAAACTCTCTGACCCGCAGTTCCTCTAGTCGTGAAATGAAGAAGGCGACACATATTCTGCACACCTCAGGCTGTATTTTGAAGGCTATAGACTGGACTTCTTAAGAACTGAAAAATCTGTCAAAAATACCAGTTGTGTTATTTCTGCCTGTCAAAATCCATTTCAAATTTTAAGAAGTTAACTCAGGTGCCATCTATTCCACGATATTTTCTATAACCCTTGTATTTGGAATGAATCTCTTCCACTTTAGTGCCCCTAGACTTCCTGATTCCTTTATTGCAACATTTGTTCTCTGTGGTATTAAACATGTTTGTGTAACTGCTAAATCCTGTTCGATCTTACTAAGCTGCTAGCTCCTTGAAGGAAAAGCCATATATGCTATTTTATACCTCTCATAGCATTAGCACAGTACTCGGAGACTTTAATCTGTAAGTAAGGAACAAAAACAAACAAGTCCATCTCCATTTTACTTTCACAATCCACTGCTTTTGCTAACTTGATACCTAGTGTTGTCCAAGACAGCTCCACTGTCAGACTTGAATTCTCACATTTCTGTTCTTTAACTATAACCTCTTCGTTTCCATCACCACCAAATTACCCTATTATTTTTCTGATCTTTCTTAGTCCTTCCAATTACCCTAGTTCATATATCTATTCAGGATCTAGCTGCATTGCCTAGACTGAGCTTCCTGTTCATCCATGCAAATTATATGTTAATTTTTCACTTTAGAATTTCCTATCACTGTGACCTGCAGTCACTCCAATCTTACTACTTCCCAGCCCTCAATAACTCCAATTTAACTAAACGAATATCCTTTTCTTCCTGACATGGCAGGGTTCCCTACCAAAAGTAATAAATTGTGCAAAGAAGCCCCAATACAATTGATCTCTGGGACCCCAACATCCTTAGTTGCTCTTGTCTACTTTGTTACCTTTCTCCCCTCACGGGAGCAG